GCTGATAAATGCAAGTGTCTCCCGTTCAACACAGGGCCAGACACTAGCTCTCATGAAAGTTATTAACCTTGCTTATGAATGGACATAAACATATGTGGCAAGATGGTGGTTTCACAGCTTCAACTGGCTCTGTGGACATAGATTTGCTCTAGACTAAAGTCCCAAATCAGTCAAATGTAAGCTAACTGCAAAAACATCACAGTTGTTACGTGTATTGGGCTTTATAGAGATAAAATTTATAGAGATTAAATTCTCTCAAGATTTGAGGTTAGAGATTTTATGAAGCACCTGGAAGCTTTGAAAAATACGATGCTCAGGCCCTACCTTACATAGAATCAGACTCTCTCCCATGATGTGGCCTGGGTGTTGTAATTCCTCAAAACTCCCTAAAGGACTCTAATAAGCAGTGAGAGTTGAACTTGATACAGTTCAAGCTGTAGCACAAAATGCAGACTGAAGAGGTGTTATGTGCAGAAAACAGAAAAAATAACAATTTAAGTTATTATTAACAGACTAACAGAATTAAGAGAACTAATCTCCTAATTAACTAAACTGACCTCTATCCTAGGCACTTCAAATAAATTCCTAAATGTCCAAGTTCCCAAGTGGCCATTTCGGGGACAAAAAGAGAGCTAAGCATTTTATTTGTGCAGACCATGTGATGTAGTACCATAGAGCAAAGGGACTTCTTAAGGTCACTTTTCTGAAGATAGCTTGGACTGAAAGACAGGGAAGCCTGGCAGGAAAGGAGGGGGGGCACTATTGACTCAAGGTGGTACCAGTAGCAGAGCTGCCCTGCTCCCTCATCACACACGGGAGGGGTGGGGCTTTCTGGGCCCGCATTTCGTGAAATTTCTTCACGAGTTCCCAGGGAAGAAATGGGCCTTTCCTTAGCCCTGCAGGAGTAAATTCTCTGAAGAGCTTAGTGAGGACTTTTACACCAAGAAGACATTATTCCTTTATCCAGCATCCTCCTTCCATTGTCTGCAGTGTCCAATAACCAGCAGGAATTAGAACACTTTATTGACATGACCAAGGCCGTCCCTTCACCTGGGATGACTCCACTTTTGGAAGCTCCCCTGTGTCCAGCTTGGTTATGGTCCTTGCTGAGAGCTTCATTAGCTTCCAGGAAAGGATTGAATCACACCCATAGCATTGAGCTGAACAGTTACTATTATTTTTTATTTCCGGGGAACTGTTTTTTAAAGTTAATCGTATTGCCACAACTATAAAACCAATTTTGAGAAATGATGGGATATCTGAAAGTTAACTAAAGTTAGTGATGTGCGTATAACATCTCATATTAGGACATTTTCCTGAGTAACTCAAACTTTACTACGTAGTCCTGCCAGATGGGAAATGGGCCCTATTCCTGCGCAAGGTCCAGAAGACGGTGGTTCTCAGACTCTAAGACACATTATAATCATCTGTTGGATTTGAATTTGCCTTTGAAAGCCACACTCCAGATGCCTCTAATGTAGTAGACAGTCCTCAGACCCCAAATGTGGGAGATGAGTACAGGGACCCTGTTTGTGTCTGTGCGTGTGTGTGTTTTTAATAAATTTTTATTTAACATAATTTATCTTTATTTATTTACGTTTTTGGCTGCGTTGGGTCTTCGTGGCTGCATGCAGGCTTTCTCTAGTTGTGGCGAGCGGGGGCTACTCTTCGTTGTGGTGCGCGGGCTTCTCATTGTGCTGGCTTCTCTTGTTGCAGAGCACAGGCTCTAGGTGTGCAGACTTCAATAGTTGTGGCGCTGGGCTCAGTAGTTGTGGCTTGTGGGCTCTAGAGCACAGGCTCAACAGTTGTGGAGCACGGGTTTAGTTGCTCTGCAGCTTGTGGGATCTTCCCAGACCAGGGATCGAACCTGTGTCCCCTGCATTGGCAGGCGGATTCTTAACCACCGTACCACCAGGGAACTCCCTTTTTGTGTGTTTTGAACACAGGACAATGACCACAGTATCAGTTACCTCTGACAATGGTCTCCTGAAAATGGATAGGATTCTCTTAATCAGGGATGTGTTTCTGAGGCATTACAGCCCAGCATAAGCCTCTAAAGAAAATAGTAAGAAAACCATTACCTTTAACTGAGGAATACCCATGAGGCCCTTTCATCACCACTGTAAATTCCTTTCTCTATGTTCCAACTCCTTGCCTTCCCCCAAACAAGGATTCTACGTCAACCTCCTGGGTTATATGATAGGGAGGTGTAGCAATATCTTGTGCTGTTACCATTTGGATCTCTAACTGTTTCATTAACTTACATATGGGTCTGGGCTTCCCTGGTGGCGCAGTGGTTGAGAGTCCACCTGCCGAAGCAGGGGACACGGGTTCGTGCCCCGGTCTGGAAGATCCCACGTGCCACGGAGCGGCTGGGCCCGTGAGTCATGGCCGCTGAGCCTGTGCGTCTGGAGCCTGTGCTCCGCAACGGGAGAGGCCATAACGGTGAGAGGCCCACGTACTGCAAAAAAAAACAACAACAAAAACCCTGGCTCTACATATGGGTCACAAGCATATTGGTTAGACATTTTATAATTTGCATTTTAAAAACGTGTCTACACATAAACCAGTTTAACTTACTGGAGATTATTATTTTTACTGTTGTTATTATCATGATTTACTTTAAATGTTGGTTTTATGAAGAAAAGAGGAGTGCCGTTTTTGGTGGCTTGAACATAAGGACACTAATATAAATATTTGTGGATTGATTGCTTGTCAAGTAAGAGATTTGACTAATGTTTCACCTGACATCTGAAGAAACTTGATAGAGACCAGCAGACTACAGATGAAGTTTGGGACCCGATTGTAGAGAACGTCAGAGAGGTGAAGAAAAAATAGTGCTGGTGAAAAAAAGGTTCATAAGGGAAACAGTTATCTGTGACATAGACAGACACAAATGAGATGCCAAGGGTGTTCCATAAACAAAGAAGGCTGCTTTTCATAATGAAGAGGGAATAGAATGGGGTCGGTGAAAGCCACCCAAGGTCACTGGTAGGATAGGAGGAAGAACTCTTTTCTCAGCAGATCCCTGACCTGGGGGAAATAGGTTTGGAAAGATAAAGAAATAGAGAGAGAGTAGAGACAGAAACAGAGAAAGACAGAGACAGAGACAGAGAAGGATGGTAGATAAAATAAGCCTTCTCTAGAGATATAGCTAAATTTATTGAGCCCTTACTATGGAAACCAACAGTCTTATGATGCAGGAACTAATTCTGTCTGTACTTTAAGATAAGGCACAAAAAGTTTAAGTAATTTGCCCAAAGTCCCACTGAGCTGAGATCCTAATACACAAGGAAATCTGACTCTAGAAACTGTGCTTAATGACCCTGCTTTAGAACTGAAGGAAAGATAGCTCACAATATAGGAAGGCCCTACTTTATGTACATCTTACTGTACCTGGCTATGAAATTCATAATCATACCAAGGGCACAAATAAATGGAGAATTAGAAATAGTGATAGGCTGGTTTTTTAAAATGTTAGATTGATAGGATCTAGCAGCTAATAATCACATAAAACAAAGTAAAACAAGGTAAGAAGACTGCTTACCACATCCCAGTCATTTAAAATGAGAAGATATCTTAACCAGAAATTATGATGCTTTGTTAACCCAGCCATCACCAAGAGAATTAAAACTGGCCCAATCTCTGTACGCCTACATGTTCTCTATATTTACAACAAATGGATGTTAACTGACCTTGCTCTTTCATTCTAAATAAGTTATCCATGGCGGTTGCTTTATCTGATTTTTTTTTCCTTAACATTTTATTATAGAAGTTTTCCAACATCCAGCAAAATGGAAAATTTTCAGTGAACCCACAGTATACTCAGCACCTAGATTTCAGTGCTGATTTATCCAGCGTCTACCTTAGGAACAGTCTTCTTGATTGATATTCACGTCATCTCTGAGTTATCTCACCATGCCCAGCATGATGCTTGTTATTAGTTAAGTCATTTGGATGGGTGCTATCATCCACTATGCCTTAGGCAGGGATAAGTGATGAGCAACTGATCAAGGGAAGAATCCAGAGAAGCAGAAAGGAGTCCTTTGTATGCTGTGCATGTTATTACTGGTAGATTTTCCACACATAGCTGTGATCAACAATCACCTGACGATAAAAGTTTTGAAAAGATATCAAGGTTATAACACTTGTGTATCAAGCTAAGATTTCTTAGAATTCTTTCTCCCTTAATATCACTCTTTCCCTTGCTTTTCACCCATGTTGTTAATGGAATGGGATAGAATTCATACGATTCATAAAGGGATGGTTACTCTCACAGGCACTGGCCAAGTAATCCCAAATGCCCTTGAACTTCTGTTTCGACAATACTATCCCCTGTACCAGTCATTTGAACTTGGAGGCCACATTTATAGACACCTCAACCTTTCTCTCTTTAGAAAACCAACATCACCAACCTCACTGAAATACCTGGACATATAGCAAGGAAGACACACACCATGAACAACAGCTGTGAGAGCATTGCTTGCCCTTCAAAATGATTATTGGTTGGGTATAAATATGGATTGTTAAGGGTTGAACTGTGTCTCCCCCGAAAAGATGTGTTAAAGCCCTAACCCCCAGTATCTCAGAATATGTCTTATTTGAAAATAGGGGCTTTGTAGATATAAACAGTTAAGATGAAGAATTCCCTGGTTGTCCAGTGGTTAGGACTCCATGCTTCCACTGCAGAGGGCAAGGATTTGATCCCTGGTCAGGGAACTAAGATTCCGCACGCCACACAGTACGGCCAAAAAAAAAAAAGAAAAAAAAAAGGTGGCAGTAAACAGTTAAGATAAGGTCATTAAAGTGAGCCCCAATCCAATATGGCGTCCTTGTAAAAAGGGAAAATTTGGACATAGACAGACATGCAGACAGGGAGAATGCTGTGTGAAGGAAGCGAGGCATCAGCAAACTACCTGAAGCTAGGAGAGAGGCATGGAACAGATTGTCCTCACAGCTCTCAGAAGGAACCAACCCTGCCAACACCTTGAACTTCTAACCTCCGGAACTGTAAGACGATATATTTCTCTTGAGCCACCCCGTTTGCAGTACTTTGTTAACGGTAGCAGGAACTCGGAGACGATTGCCTTTGAAGATACGGTATACAAGGCTAGAAGCAGTGGTGAGAAAAATAATTGATTAGAGAAAATCTAATTATACAAATTTCCTTCCAACTGATATACCAGCATTCTGAAGATCTCCTTTAACAGGTAAAATGTTTAAAAATATATTTTAAAGTGAGTTTTAGAGACCATATCTGATCATTGTTTTGTTACCACTTTGGCATTTGATTTCGGCTTATTTCTGTCTTATTGGAACATGTGAATGTCCAATGTTTTTCATGCGGATAAAAGAGTAAGTCCCACAAAATACAAGTATGTAATAGGTGAGTAGATCTGGGTAAGAAATTCTGCATTCTTTCTTGTCAACTCAACAATGTCAGTATTCTGTTCTTCTTACAGCATATGCTTAGGAAAGTAGAAAGTAAGAGCGTAGATATATTTTTAATACATAATTCTTCACCAAAATTTTCAGAGGATAGTAGAATTTAATTTCCATTTTTTCCCTACCCCTAGCCTAGAAATCAAGTAAAAGGGAGCAATTCCAATTCTCCCAAACTGCAATGTCCAATTCTTCAGAACTAGAAGGCCTCCTGGATTTTCATCACTGCCAACTCTTTCAGAGGAATCACAGTCCCTCAAGGATGGCCCGATACTTTGGGTTCTTATTCCTTTCACCAAAACTAATTGCTGCACAGACTCCTTCCTTCTAATTCCTGTATGCCCCAGCCCTCAAATACTGGAAATTCACTAAAGTCATCCAGTTGGTGAAACAGGAAGTGGCTCTAACTCCATGGGGATCCTAAGACGGCCAGATTTTTGACTGTGGCCCAGCCAGCAGAGAAGCAGGTCACTGCCAGTGCTGGTGTTCTGGCCACCATCACAGTGAGGACACATCCTAGGGATGGTCAGAGCCTCTGGTCCTCAGAGCCAAGACTACATCACACGCTTATAGGGAGCCCTTCCTCACCAAATGGATGTAAAATGGGTCAGAATTCACTGAGCTTCTGTTGACTTTTCTATAACAGTAAAGATAATTCCAGTAATTATTTACCTTTACTTATGTCTTTCTTGAGTGGATATAAAAGTATATTCCATTTATGTGTATGTATATATACACATATTCTTTTTTTTTCTTGCCACAACCGCACAGCTTGCAGGATCTTAGTTCCCCGACCAGGTGTCAAACTCGGGCCCCGGCAGTGAAAACACTGAGTCTTAACCGCTGGACCGCCAGGGAATTCACACACATGCTCTACCTTTAAAAATTAGTTGAACATTTTGCTTTTGATTTCCATGTGATTGTTATCAATAGGTTAATATATAGTTATTAAGCCATGTATGCAGCACAGGGCTAGGCATTGGTAAGGAATCTAAAAGAAGAATAAGGAACGATCTCTGCCCTAAAGGTAACTTTAATTAGTTGAAATTAGTTAATTTAAAGTTAATTAATTGGATTCACTGAATAAACAAACCTAAGGCTCCTATCACACTTGAAGTACAATTATTGCCAAAATCTATGGTAAGTACTGTATAGAAGTATTTAGCTGCAAGTATAATATGAGGCAAAGGAAAGAAGTTGGCTTGACTCCAACAGCCAGTATACGTTCTCTCAAGGACATGGATGTGAGCTGCTTTAAAAGAGAAAATTACAGGGCTTCCCTGGTGGCGCAGTGGTTGAGAGTCCGCCTGCCGATGCAGGGAACACGGGTTCGTGCCCCGCTCCAGGAAGATCCCACATGCCGCGGAGTAGCTGGGCCCGTGAGCCATGGCCGCTGAGCCTGCGCGTCCGGAGCCTTTGCTCTGCAACGGGAGAGGCCACAACAGTGAGAGGCCCGCGTACCGCAAAAAAAAAAAAAAAAAAAAAAAAGAAAGAAAATTACAAAGGTAGGCTGAGGGGTGGGGTCTGACGTATTAGATTGTGCAGAACACAGAACAAACAAAGCCATGAAAATGGGACTAGGCATGATCTGGGTTGGGGGAATTAATGCATCTGATCCAAGAAGGCTGTAGATCTGAATGAAGGCAAGAGGGAACAGGTACCTCCCCAACACGTGTTTTTCTCTCTTCCTTTTATTCTTTGTGTTCCTTCTTTCCAATATTGATTGAAAGCCTGTTAGGTACCTGGCGCTCTTCTAGGTACCGAGGGGAGGAGACAACACCTACTGATACGCAGGCCACATTGCAGTCAGGTAGACACAAAGGAACGGTTGGGGGGACATGTGGGACAAAGTTCTGGAATCTCAAAGAAAACTAAGAAAGAGAAATGATTTGGAATTGGCAGTAAGGATCGAGAAGCAGTTACTCCATCTTCAGGCCCAGGGGTATACAAGATGTGGGAGAAACCACCCCAACTTGGGAGGGACGCACAAGAATCTATGTCCTGAGGGGAAAGTAAAGTTTCAGTTAGATCTAGAAGATGCATATCCTGAAAAGAGGTCAAAGATACAAGGTGTGCAAGGTGTTTTGTTGATGAAAGACAATGATTTATATAAAGCACCAAGTAGGAGTGCTTAGAAGCATGGAAGGGTAAGAGGTTGGGTCAACCTCAATGTGTTGGACCAAAGAGGAAAATAAAACTCCGTGTGTGTGTGTGTGTGTGTGTCTGTGTGTGTGTGTGTGTGTGTGTGTGTGTGTGTTCACTAGTCAGTTCAAAGTTGGCTTAGGTAAAAGAAATCTCATTTGTGGTTGACTTGTATTCCTTAAATGTGTCTTTTGCTTATTATCCTTCAGTAGAAGGATTGGCTCTGTCTCCCTTCAATATTCACCATCATCATATCTGCCAACAATAAAGGCCCCATTCTGAATTCCTTCAGTCCTGCTAGAATAAAATTCTCTCTCCTATTTGGAAATCCCCTCAGACTCTGGAAGCTTTCCTGCATCCATAAAAAATCTCCACCCAAGATACATCTTTAGGACCAGCTCTAGCCAAGAGACATACTACCTCACAAGACTGGAAGCAAGTTCCAAAACCTTCGAGTCCTCTCCTCACTGGCTCCACCAAACTTTTTATTTTCTGGTGCTTCTGGATTGCTGAGAATGGGAAATTACTTGGCAAAAGTTACAATACATCACCAGAACAGAACTACTGCTCCATATACCGAACTTTCAAACCACTCTTCTACTTGACAATAAACTGAGGCTTGTACTGAGTAACCTAAAAACCAAATGAGTCCATCCTTTTCAGGCTATCATATGCCCTTATCTTATTTGGTCCTCACAAGAATCCAGTGAAATAGACAGATATAGAAACTGAGGCCAGAGAGTTAAGTCACTTGCTCATATTCACATCCATCATAGGTGATTCACGGTAAAGTTAATGAAGGTTAAACATCAGGACCCTCCTCTTGTGTGGTCTCCTTCGAAGATGCTGAAAGGGAAAAAGGCCTGCCAATGTGTTTACACTGTCATAAGTTTCTGTAAAATCTGTAAGAATGAGACATATAGTCATACTTGGTGATTAAATCACAATTATAAAAATCACTGTTTCTTTCCCCTCCATCAGATTTCTCTTCATGTTGGATGGCTTTGAGCACTTTAGAATCCAGCTAAGGAAAATTGAGTTGGGATAGATATATATATATATATATATATATATATATATAGTGTAAGTTGTTTTATTTTGTTTTTTTGTGGTACGCGGGCCTCTCACTGCTGTGGCCTCTCCCGTTGTGGAGCACAGGTTCTGGACGCGCAGGCTCAGTGGCCATGGCTCACGGGCCTAGCCGCTCCGCGGCATGTGGGATCTTCCCGGACCGGGGCACGAACCCGTGTCCCCTGCATCGGCAGGCGGACTCTCAACCACTGTGCCACCAGGGAAGCCCCTATAGTGTAAGTTTTATAGGATCCATTTATGTGGTCCAAAGTCACTCATGTGTATAGTAACATGAGTGCCCCTCTGATGTAGGACTGGCTTTGAGGCATGTCCTCTCCAACCACCTATACACACACACACAAACACACATACACCGCGTGTGCCAAATCCTCCAGCTCCTGTAAAAAGAGTGTAACCTATACAGAAAGAGGGTATAGCACTGGAAATAAGTGGGTACGAGTATGAAACAAATTTTCATATATAAAGAGTGGATTACTCCATTCTTTATAGAAAATAGTACAAAATTGTTATTTTCTGAAGAAGCAGTTGAAGATCATGCAGCCAAGAAATGTGAAAAAAGGAATATTATAGAGCTGTGTCAGGCTAATAAAAATATTGTGTTGTTTTTACAGAGTTTTGTAATATATATGGCATTTGCCAGTTTTTTTAAATTTGTAATCCTTAGTATTTCTTTTCTCATTATAAATAGATATTCACTTTTGTACCTAATTTTTTATTTCTAATCTGTATTCTTTTTCTTAAAGAGCTTTTGTCAAATTGTATAGGCCCTCAAAATACTTGCAAAGAAACTAAATACTTTAACAAGTCAGGCTAACCTTGCAGCCTCTCAGATCTACTGGGCCTACACATACAGTGTCAGAATCAGAAGTTACAGTGGAGAATCTGACCAGTGGTAATTTCTACTAAGAGTAGGTCTTTTTTTTTTTTTTTTTCCTCTTAATGACTTATCCATGTTGAACATTTTGATGCCATGAAAACATTGAGAAATTCCCCTTTCCCCACCCCCAAACCTCCACTCCAGTAGTTTTCCTTTTCACACATACCTCTTCATTTCCTGATTCTGGTCTGGGCTTGAAGCAAAGGTACCTGAATCCAGCCAGAAAAGCTATTATTACGATCGTTTTGGCCTAACAGGGGCAGGAAATACCAATAACCTTATGTGAGCTATTCCTCAATGAAGAGCCAACCTGAATGCATAATGTGAGGTCCTTGCATAATTCAGATGATGCTTAGATAAGGTCCGGACAACTGGAAACACCTTTCCTTCTAATCCTTGGAGGCCACTGGGTAGGTAGGGCTCCCCCACAATGAAATGCTGAAATAAGACACTGTAATAACATTTTTTTTTTAATGCAAGCCCCTGAGAAACAACAAATAACTTTTCTGTTGGGAATATTGTTCCAAATACTAACTTAACTGTCAAACAGATAGAAAGAAAACATAAGATTGCCAACAAAACCACAGAAGATGAGGTCTTATTCCTTGAGAAGAAAGGATTATTCAAGTCACTGTTCAGTCCTTGCACCATCATATATGTTCACTTCAGTCAGACCCCAAGGTAAAACAAAACGGAGTTCCTTTCCCTGGTGCTTTGTAAGGAAGAAATAAAGAAAAGGAGAGAGAGAGAGTAAGAGAGAGAGCTTCTCGAGGCAGACTGCCTGATCCTCCCGCAAAGACCATAAGCCAATTTATAAAACACGTCAAGCACATACAGCATCCGATGATATTCTATGTCACCTACAAATCGGCACCTGCCATCGGCACTTGCCATCTACCTCTACAAGGATTAAGTTATAAGCATCTGCAGCTGCTGACCTTCACCACCCCCGAGGCACTCTGTGCTCTGGGAAAAACTGACAGAACAGGTCTTCAGATCGTTAGATATTTTCAGAAGAAGACTTTATGAGCCAATTCTTGCATCTCCTCGTATCTAGAAAAGCACTAAAATCCTTCATGGTGACGTCTGCTCCTCGTGACTAACACTAACCTTCTGCAAAAAAATATGTGTTTGATTGCATGTACTCCCCTTCACCAAAGTCACATCTATACTGACCTTCCCCTCTACCTCTTTGGAGCAATTTCTCAGAACTATCTGAAATGCTATCTCCCAGGCTATAGTCCTCATTTTGCCTCAAATAAAACTTAACTCACCATTCTCATGCTGTAAAATTTTTTTCAGTCGACATGTGCATCTTTCTTTCAGTGAAACATGATACTAACAAACTGATGTTACCAATATCTGGGTTATAAAGTTTGATACTGAATCCTCCTCTTCAAGTGTACATGAAATCCCTAAACTTGGGTGTTTATGATAATCACTCTCTTGCTTCCACCTTGGGCACTTTTGAAATTGTTATTGTTTTGCAGTCATTGTTTTGCAGTCCTGTTTACTGTGCTGGGAATAGCATTCAAAAGAAACAAAAAAGAAACAAACATTTCAGCATTTGTATTGCCTTGCTGTGACCTGCCTGATGAGTCACCCTTGGTCTACCACCCCATGGTTTCCCAGCACTGCCACAAGGCTGTTTTTCCCCAATAATTGGAGAACCCTGTTTACACTGATTCAAATACATGTCTGGGCAGGGCTGTTTGAACTGCTTCGGGTAAGAGCGCTAAGGCAAGGCCTGTGGGTAGCTAGCCCTCTCCCTAAAGCTTGGATGGTAGGAGAGGGTATGAAATGAGATTTTCAAAACAACTCCCTTTGCAGAAAACCTGAGGTTTTACTTTTTCTTTGAATAGTTGGTTCTGAGCATAATTCCATGACTTTTAACTGCTTGGCTCCCAAATATTTTATGACCATTGAGGAGGGTCACAAAACAGAGACAGTGGGACTAGACAGAAGGATGCTTGATGACTAGAAGAGACCCAGCTACTGTGCATCTTCATGCAGAATAAGAGCTCAGGTCTGTGTCTGTCAGTAGACAATTAAATAAATGGATGAACACACTATGGAATGAGCAGAAACAGATACATAGCTAAACTTTATGGGGAATGACACTCTGCCAATCCCAGAGGCTCACTTAGGCAAGAGCCTGCTGATCCTAATGGCATCATGGCTGGATGAGTTTCCTGACACCGATCAAGCCCCAGCGTAACAACTGAAGTCAGAGGTTAAAGATGAGACCCTTCTTCACTGTATTATTGTTAAATCAATATGCATATCGCTGACCCTCAATTCTAGTGAAATCTCTATTATCTATTTTATAAATTACTCTCGCTCCTGGCCACTGTTCTTTCACCCACCCACTACTTACCTAAAAGCCCTTTAACTACTCATTTCAATCTCCTCCCAAATTAAAAGGATTCGGGAGGAGCCTTAAAACCAGTTTATCTTTTAATTAAACACTCTCATGAAAATGACACCAGGAAATAGGGGCAAGGGAAATGGCAAAGAGAAGAGGTTGCAAAGCAACTGTGATGTGTGGCTGATTTAATCCCAATCCTACTATAACTAACACTGTAAACCTGGTGATGGAGGAGGAGGGGCAAAATGGCATCCAAACATTAACAAGTGAAACTCAGTGTAGTGCAAACAAATAAACAAAACCACACTGAGGGGGGTGGGGAAGAAAAGAATTAACCTGAGTAACTCTGGGAAATAGTATCTTGTCTATATACTAACAGGCTCTATATACGAACTGTACACAGATATACTCAAGTACACTGCATCTCTCATGGGTGTGGGTTAGCAATTCTGAACCTATCTGTATATTAGGATTGAACAAAAAGTAAATCTATTGTGGATAATGAAAGAAAGGTTTCTCAGTGTTGGAAAAAGGAGTTACAAATCAGGAAAGGGGGAAGTTAGGTAGAATACACCGTACAGTGTTGCATCAGAAACAGAGGTATCTGTATGAACTCATGGATTCAAATGTGTGTGCCTGTGTGTACACAAATGGGCTACTCTTAACAGTGATGACTCAGAGTTCCCCTCCCCCTCCCTTTTTTTTGGAGGGCTCCTGTGGGGTCCTTAAAGAGAGAAGGAAAATATATTTTGTCAGTTTTTTTAAGGGAAGTAAATACCAGGCTCACACTAAGAAATGCTTTTCCAAATGAGGTCAACGAGGGTGTTATTAACCCAAAACAGAGCCTTGGGGCAGAACTGAATAATGGGGTGAGGGAGCAGTAAGAAAATATCGATAGCAGTAAAAAGGACCCCTATTCTCAAGGTTTCTTAATCCAGGAGCCATGTTCTAAGTACTGCAGACTCCGTTGACTCCATTTAACGCTCATAAAATAGTCACACGTTCAGAGGCTACTGCTTAATTTTAATAAACTCTCTTGATCTGCAGAATTGGTTTAAAGGCAGAAGTCCTCTAGTTTAAAACGTGCAGGAGAAGAGCAAATCTAAACTTTCAGGGTACTTTTTTTTTTTTTTTTTTTGTGGTACGCGGGCCTCTCACTGTTGTGGCCTCTCCCATTGCGGAGCACGGGCTCCGGACGCGCAGGCTCAGCAGCCATAGCTCACGGGCCCAGCCGCTCCGCGGCATGTGGGATCTTCCCAGAACGGGGCACGAACCTGTGTCCCCTGCATTGGCAAGCGGACTCTCAACCACTGCGCCACCAGGGAAGCCCTAGGGTACTTTTAAACCATTTTTGAATTAACAATATCTGATCAAAATAAAAAACCCAGCAAGAGCAGATCTCAGAGGTTCTTCGAACAGACTCAAGAAACTTACAAGCAACCAACTTACTTTCTCCAGAAAACTTTCCCATCTGTTAGTCACTTGTACAACTTCAATGAGACATTAATCAAACAAAGAGACTTGACACCACCTGGAATGAATCACTCCCAGTTCAGTGAAGTCTCTGAGGGGTTACTGACAAGAAATCTACTTCTCTGTTTCCAAGGAAAGATTTATTTATGCATGAGATCAAGAAGGAGAGATGACTGTAACACTTCACTTCAAATGGAGACATGAATCAGAGAATTAGCTGGACTTACGTTGATGGCAGCCACTCTCTACAGCGTTCTCTGACCTAGGATTTTCTTGTTTCTGTTTTATCACTGACTGTGTTGTCTTAACCACTGTCTGTAGAAAACTTGTACTCTACTAAATCTGCCTGTCCTGTAACTTCTTTCTTAATCTGACCAGAAGCCCCAAGAGACCAAAAAAGTTTAAATCAGACTTCAATGCGTTTGCTTCCTTTGCCTGATTGAGATTTCTGAGAAGTTTACATTAGGAATATCATGGAAATTTGAAAGATAGAATCATAAATAATTATAGGATTGAAGACTCAGCCAGGAGCTAAAATGATTGTCCACAGTCCTGCTTTGGATCTCAAAGCTATGGACCGAGAAAGAGCACCATTATTTACAAAGTTTATCCTACAGTGCAGCCGAGGAGTTCAGGTTTTTTTAAATTTATTGAATAATTTATTTTAATTGAATAAATTGACATTTACTGAATATTGAATAATTGCTAAACCTAAAATCTAGGATTCATTCATACAACAAATAATGATTGTTTATGATGTACCAGACTCTGTCTAGTTGCTGAGACTAATAGAGACTAATAAAAAGCTGGACGCTGTTCTCATCAAGCTTATGAATGAAAGAGGACATATAAACAAATTGAACAAACAATCTGATACAGTACAAAGTGTGAGAAGGGTGCAGAAATAGAAAAAGGAGAGAGCTTTTAATCCTGGAGGTGCAAGGAGTCTTAAAGAGAGGGCCCTGCAGAAACTGACATTTGAGCTTGTTCTGAAGGAGAAATAGAGGTGACCAGGCAATCTGTAGGAGAAGAGAAAGTTGAGGAAGAAGTGGGGCAGGGCTTTCTTGGAAGCAAAGAAAACAACAGGTGCAGATGAAAGCATGAAGTAGTATCTCTTCCTATAAAACTCAAAGAAGGTTTATTGGTGAGTTAGATGGGCGAGGTCATAGGAGGCAAACATGATGGGAGCAGATCCTGCTGGAGGTCATCAGCAGGCCAGAGCCACCTGTATCACACCCACTCTCATGCCCAGCCTTGAACTAACAGCCAGTGAGCTGCCAGGAAGAAGTCTTCAGAAGAGACATGGTCACACGTGCATTTGGATGGATGTTTCCGGGTGAGAACAAAATGAGGGAAACTATGGCAACAGCATGTCATTTATACAGTCTGGTTAGAAACGTTTCTCCCCAGTGTTAATCTTCCTAGAATAAAGAGCACTAGCCTTCCTTTTCTTCTAATCCTTCAAACCCCGTGCCAACTGCTAATGACATCAGTACCAATGACATGGAGTGTGTGTGAGGGTGGCGAGGATTTAGACTGCGATCACCATCCCTTTGTCACCTGCTCCTTCAGCGACCCCAAATAAACATGCCATCTAAGTAAAGACGCTGGGCTTGCTCTGAAAGGGCAGCTTCAAGACAAGGCTCTGAGCCCCGCTTTCTAACCATCTGCAGCTCTAAGAAGCCCCCAGTATACAAATTCTGGAACAGCCACTGAATATCAGCAGATTACTCACAAACGATCCTTTGGTTCTTCCAGACCTTAGAGATCTCATAATGCCTTCTTGTATAAAGACCTATGGGAAACTGCTCTCAGAACCCCACTCACCTACAAATGGTTAGGAGAGGCTTCTGCAGCTGGAGCCTAGGGAGAGAGTCTCCGTTCCTTAACCATGAGTACCATTGCTCCTGAAACTGTCGGCATATGGTTTTGCCATTGGTTAAATCCTTAGCAGAATTTCCCAAGAGTCTTTTCAGGTCTGAGCTGCCACATAATCATACTCTATCTGAAAAGCTGAAAGCCCAGAACAGACATGTAAAACACACAGTACTGATGATCATTTACAAAACCAGAATGAATTTCCTGCAGTGCTTTCAAAACACCAAACTAATAGCTACTCATAAATACCTTCCTTTGTTTTATACATTTGAAATAACCTTGGTTAGGTGCAATATGATTACTTCAATATGATTACCTTTTTGAGACTATCATGTGCCCATTTTTCTTATCTTTTCTTCTCTCTTTATTATTTCTTTATCACTTCTGTTTTCTGCTTAGCTGTTACCAAGTAATAGATTGTTCATAAGAAATTAAAACTACTTTCTTTTTTGAAAAAAATTAGTGTCAATTAGGCAGGGTAGACAGATCCTCTCCCTTTTTCTCATCTCATTCATAGGGTTGCCAGACTTAACAAATAGAAATGCATATGGCCCAGTTAAATTTGAATTTCAGATAAACAACAAATAATATTTCAGTATAAATACATTCCATGTAATGTTTGGGACACACTTACACTAAAAAAAATGTCTTGTTATTTATCCCCAATTCAAATTTAACTAGGGATT